CAATGTACGATATTCATCGGTTCTATAAATGTCAATCTAACGTCAATTCGCAAATAAGAATGATGTCAACTTTAAAAATGATTCGCATACAAATCAGATCAAAATATAACGATATACAATATAATTTTCTTCATGTCCTTACAAATCTGATAATAAGTTTGTTAAGGTATTGGCATCGACCATGAATTGAGAAAAAGTTTTCAAAAAATTTAAAATGGCGGATCCAATATGGCGGACATGAAAATTGAAAATCGACTGAATTAGCTTGAAACGAGTAACTCGGGAGTTTTCGGTGTCGCCGATTGCGAATCTGATGTCAGTTTCTAAAAATTAAAAATGGCGGATCCAATATGGCGGATATGAAAATTGAAAATCTACTGAATTCGCTTGAAAAAAGTTACTCGGGGGTTCGCAGGGTTGCTGAATACGAAAATGAAAATAGATTTTGGGATTCAAAACGATTGAATATAAGTGGATGACACTTATATATGAGTGAAAACTGACATCAGATTTGTAATCTGCGACCCCGAAAACCCCCGAGTAACTCGTTTCAAGCAAATTCATCCATTTTTTAGAAAGTTGTCGGCCATATTGGATCCGCCATTTTGAATTTTTAAAAACTGACATCAGATTCGTAATTTGCGACCCCGAGAACCCCCGAGTAACTCCTTTCAAGCAAATTCATCCATTTTTTAAAAAGTCGTCCGCCATATTGTATCCGCCATTTTGAATTCCTGAAAAATAATATCAGATTCGTAATCAGCGACCCCAAAAACCCCTGAGTAACGAGTTTCAAGTGAATTCAGTGAATAGAAAAATGCGTGACTGAAAGGGTTAAGGCGATATTATGGATGTTTTAGTGTTTTAAGACTTCCATAATATTGCATAATTGTTTTAATCAGAGCGATGAACTATCTTAGGGTTATCTTGCTATCTTACCTGTGTCTGCAGGCTATCTTATGAGCCTTTTAGGGCTTTATGGCTACTTGATATATATTTTATGGCGATTTTTTGCCTTTTTAGGCGAGTTTTAATTTTTTTAGGCATGATGCCGGGTTCAAAAAATTCTGAAAAAATTCAGGGTGAAAATAAGTTTAAAAATACATGTTTTTGAATTTTTGCGAGGTTGCCAATCATAAACTAACAAAAGGGGGTCACTTATAAATTTTCAGGAATTTTTTAAAAATTATGGTTAGGTTGGAACATCTCGCAAAAAATATTTTCAAATACCTTTTGATACGTTTTGTATGCTCAAATTATTTAAATAAAATTCTATCTGATAGGTCTCGTGACAAAAATAAAATATGAAAATACTTCATAAGGCAATATCTCCGAAAAGGGGTGGTGTACGGAATTAAAAATTTCTCCAAATTTTTTTTTCGGGTCAACAAACTTTTTGGTGACATGCTGGTCATAATTTGTTTGGGGGCCGATTGACCCCTTCTTAACCTGCTAGAGCTTTTGGATAATATACACTCTTTTTATATGTTCACTTTGAACTGGCACCTTTAATAATATATCAATTACTTTTCATAGTAATTTATTATTGAAGAAATAAATGTGTGTTTGAATTAATTTTGATATAATATTTTTAAAGAAGAATTAGTCTACTTGGGTTGGAATAGGAAGATCTTTCAATATTAAATTTTGTAAAGAAGATTTAAACCATTTGGATTGAAATAAGAAGAACTTTCAATAAGAATATGAAGACATATATGGTGCTTAGATTTCATTGTATATGAAGATAAAGCTAATACTACATGGGTTTTACTATTTAATTAATTAGAATTTAATAAGAATAGTACCACATGGGTTTTTAAAAATATTATTAGAATTTAACTTGACGCCGACTATTGATATCATATCTTTTATACAAATGATACATGTCATTAGAATTAAGTACGTGTAAAGTGGATAGTACCTCTTAGGCTTTTCAAGATAGTAGAATTTAACTTGGCGCCGATTATTGATATCAGATCTTTTATACAAATGATATATGTATGTCATTATATGAGGATAAAGATAGTACTACATGGGTTTTATAGAATAACTTAGCGCCGACTATTGATATCAGATCTTTTATACAAATGATGTATGTCATTATATGAGGATAAAGATAGTATACTACATGGGTTTTACTATTTATTTTTTTTAAGAAGAATTAAACCATTTGGATTGAAATAGAAGGATCTTTCAATAAGAATAAGAACTACATGGGTTTTACTATTTAATTTAGTAGAATTTAATAAGAATAGTATCACATAGGTTTTCAAAGATCTTTTATACAAATGATACGAGTCGTTAGATCTAAGTTACATCTTGGTCTAGGTTACATTTTGGTTTACTAAACAGTAAATATGATTAGTCGGTTCTACAACCGATTAAGTAGTAAGCGTTGGTGAAACTGGCCCAAACGGTTTTTTTTATCAAAACCCCGTACTCTTAGCGCATGTTTTATTTATTTATTTTTTTTTTTAAAGAGATAAGTTCGTATACGATTGTAGAATCTAGGTTATATCTTGGTCTACTAAACAGCATAAGGATAATATCATGTAGGTTTTGGTAAAAAATTAACTTTGGCATACATAATGAGGTATTCAAGTACATGTTCGAGTTCGTATTAGTCAAACCAGACGTAAAGTTGGGAACTGTTGGGTATTACTGAAGAAGAGAAGGTAGAGAGAATTCTGATATAGAATAACTTGGCGCCGACTATTGATACCAGATCTTTTATACAAATGATATATGTCATTATATGAGGATAAAGATAGTACTACATGGGTTTTACTATTTAATTTAGTAGAATTTATCTTGGTATAACCAACTCAAAAGCGGAAGTTGAAACAAAAATTAGAATAAAGATAGTACCACGTGGGTTTTACTTTTTAATTTAGTAGAATTTAAATAATAGTACTACATGGGTTTTTAAGGGTAGAATTTAATAACTTGGTATAACCAAATCAAAACCGGAAGTTCAAACAAAAATTAGAAATTTGACTAAGGAAAGATTAAAGGCTTTTAATTTAAATCATTTTCATACATATTCACTTCCATTGGCATTATCTTTTAATAATAAGATGTATTATGTCAAAATATTTTAGAGAGTATGAAAGTAGACATACTGGAAAAGCACCGTTCGGATACTATCACTAAGAAAGAGAAATCATAATAAATTTCTTATGAACATTAAAAAAAAAATTATAATAAACGTACATAAAAATGAATAAATATTCTTTTTTTACAATAATTTATGCTTCTTTCTAATGTTTAGTATTAAGAAAGGACCACGCACTAATTAAATGGAAAAGTGGCCCCGGTCAAATAAAAAATAAATCATGGGAAAATACACTTTGGGATGTCCTGATAAAAAGTCTCCATGGCGACAATCTTGAAAAAACAAGTTTAAGCTGTCAAAAGACCACTTGAACTTAATACATTCGAGAAAATCAAATAAGTCAATTTTGTGCGTTTTCTTACTTTTCCAACTATATGTACTATGTCACACACACACACACACACGCGCGCGCGCGCGCGTGTATGTGTACATGCTTATATCATATATGTATGCAAGACATACATAAATACATAGATACACAAAACATATATACATACGTACTTACGTATTTGAATACGAGTAAAAACAACTCTGATCGATGATTTTCGTTCCATGTGTTTCCAACATAAATAATTAAATATAATCGACATAAACATATACAGGGTGTTTCGAAATTAAATGGTAAAACTTCGGGAGCGTGTAGAGGAGTAAAAAACTAAGAAAAAAGGTCCTATAGACATATGCTCGTTTTTGCTCCGTTTCAGAGAAAATCGAAAAAAAATATTTACATTTCTTGCCATATCTAACACCGACATATTTGATTACATTTTCCATTTTCTATTATGAATTTGTCAGTCGCTCTTTGAAAGCCTTTAACAGTAGAACAATATCATATTTTAAACGCACATATTGTTGTTACTGTGAACACACGCATACACAAAAATTACATGGCAGCGAATCGATGTTTTGTTTGTAACATCGCGCAACAACGAAGAAATCTAAATAGATTACGAGGCGATGAAAATATCAGAAAACGTGAAATAGCTGAAAGTTTTCGAGCTAATCTTCAAGACATTCCTGCTGTATACGGAGAAGATTCCAGAGTGTGCCTCAGTTGTTTTTCACTTATGACATCGGAATCGCAATTAGAACACAATCCGTCGTGTACGAAAATGAAAATCATTTATTCGGAAAGAAATGGCAATTGTGTTATTTGTAGACGAAACGGTGGAGAATTAAGACGACTTCCGTTGAAATGTAAAACTGATATTTTTATTAATCGTAACATATATGTACCCAGTAACATTCGATCATGTCCTGAACATTTTAATGATACTGGATGTATTCCAAGAGAACTACATGTCCAATTCAGATACATTGAACGTCATTATTTAGTCGCTGGTGCGGAGTTACGAGCATTCATGGAAATGCTAGCCCAAACTGCAAAAGACAACGAGCTGCATACTTTCACCAATGAAAATTCTTTTACCGATGAGGAATTCGACATTATTAGTTCAGTAAGTAAGGCTCAGTTTGCAGAAATCGTTACATTTTGTGATAGATGATAGATAGAGTGATATAACACATAAAGTCAAAGGCCCTCTATTGTCGAAAAAACGAGATGGACATTTTTTCTGGTCGACGACGTTAATAATGATGATAACGACGTATCTTAAAAATAAAACGTGAAAATTCACGGATTCGGACTTTGTGTCGTGATATCTCCGCTCGTAGGGCACGTAGAAGAAAGTGAAAGCACTTTTATCATACAATTTAATTATTTCCTGTCGATTGAGCGTATGTAGAACTTGATCGGTTCAGCCGTTACTGAGATCTGATCATCTCGACCCCGAAAAATTCTCAGTTTCGCGTAAAGGAGGCACGGCAGTGTCGCGCGCTTGGCTTAGCGCCGAGACACTACCGTGTCTCCAGATATTAATGGGATTTAATCGGACTTTTTCAGCAGGGAGATAATTTCCAATAATTGCAACGCCGAATGACTCTCCATTACCATTGCAGGTAACTCAAATAACGCTCGAATATGCTTCTGAATGATCAATACTGGATCATCATATCTCATTAGCAACATTTCCCATGCTTCAATGTAATTTTCTTCAGAAGCCTCTAAAAAATTAATAACCTCACGTGCTTCACCCTTCAACGCTGAAATAAGGTACTGCATTTTTTGCACTTTTGGAAGTGTAGCGTTCTGATCAATCATGGACTTAAACATGTTACGAAATGACATCCATTCTTCTAGATTACCTGAAAACGTAGGCAAATCAACTCTAGGTAACTTTAAATGTTCATTGGCAACAATACTTCCCTACGTAACTGGTGCTCCTTCTCTCACGTGTCGAAAATTTGATTGTATTGATGGCATAACTGATTCCTTTTGCTCGATTAACGTTACCAGCTCTGTCATAATTTCGAAATATTTTTTCTCGAAACTGGTTGTTTCCTGTTTATGCAAAAACATGCCTTGTGTATCTGCATCCATTTCTTCTATTCCGGCCTGCACTTCGTTGAACTTTTCCCATGTTTCAGAGAATTTTGCAATCGTTGCCGAAGTTCCGCCACCGATGTATTGAAAAAATTTAAGTTATCTATATAAGCTCGAAATCTAGTGCTTTGTGCTTTTATCTGAGCCCGCTTTGTTACCAGCGATTTGACAAAGGCGGTCTTTGCTGCGGCCGTTATTGTTGGATCATTACTGTATTGTTTGGACATTTTTCTGCACTCTCTAATGCCCAACTACTCTGATATCTCGTAGAACTGTTATGCTATATTATTTTCGATCTCTGATGTCTTAATGCCGCCCTTACAGACACGCAATTTGCTGAACGCGAAGAACTTTGTTTCCTTTTATCTCAGATGGATTTTCACCATACCTTTTGTGATTGTTATCTTCCATTGCTGCTGCACGATCTGTCTACCTTTTTAGTTCAGAGGTTATATCCGATCCTACCTCTAAATCCGGCTCGAAGGACCAAAAATATTATATTGTTTAGATAAAGAATGTGTGTTGAACACGTATGGTTTGTAAGAATAATTAATTCTCGAAGTGGACTGTAAACTTTAATGTTTATTTTCTCGAGCCGTTATACCGTTTAAAAAATTTTTTTTAAAGTTTGAAACAACCTAATTTCCGCGTGGATCAGCTCGTCGTAATTTTCGCTAGTCGCGAAAAAGGTTCGCACGGGAAGAGAGAATGCAGAATCAAATTTAGACTAGACACAGTATTTTACAAAAGACAGAAAGAAACGTTTATTGTGTGTAGTGTGTGTATGTACAAATGAGTGTGTGTACGTGTTCGCAAGTGACAAGCAGGTGTGTATTCGTGTGCCGGTGTAGATGTGTATGTTGTGTATATTGTGTATATTGTCGAGACGGCAAGCAGACGAGACGGATACAAGACGTGTATAGAAAAACTACGAGGCGCGGACAAAGAAACTACGATATTACGGACGGCACGAACAGAAAAACTATACGTGTGAATTACAGCGCGAGTACGGCGGAAAACGCGGGGGAATCTCCGAATCCCAAGACGGACGCGAGGCGCGGTCGGCGGTATAACAATACGAATACGCGTACGCGAAGTATACGCCAGCGGCGGATGACGGTCGCGGCGCGGATAACGCGGTGGGCGTTCCCTCTATGCAATGAGGGACGCTTCGCAAAAATGTAGAATGCACAGGAACCTTACGACCGACTGCCAAGAACGCTTGGCGGAGGCGAAGAACACTTCACCCCCTTTTCTCGCCGGTGCGCAAAGTCTAGGATACTGGCGTACGGCTGTCAAGAACGCTTGACGGAGGCAAAGAACGCTTTACCCCCTTTTCGCGTCGTACGGCCAGCGGATCAGGAGTTTTGGTGATCGACTGTCAAGAACGCTTGACGGAGACCAAGAACACTTGACCCCCTTTTCGCGTCGGATCACCGGAGCTAGGATCGTAGCAGGATTCGTACTGGAGCGGCGGTTCGGATAGAAGAGAGCTCCGGAGCAAGCATAATTAACGCATTATATACTAATTATTGCTCCTGTTCGTTCGGTTACGGTCTTTTCCGTCATCGCTTGGCGGTTGGCAATTCCTGCGGAGGGGATTGGCGATCGGCGATGTTCGGTCGCGTTCGGTCGGAGCGGCGGATAGCGCGAAGCGCAGATCGTTCGGCGATCTTCGGACGCGTTCGGTTGGAGCGGCGATAGCTACTGTCGACGAAACTTTGCTACAATGCAACGGATGAATAATATACAATGATAACTATATACAATGATAACACTAACTTATGCCCAATACGAATTACAATATACAAGACAAAAAGTAGCTACCGGGAACGATGCAGTCCGAGGTGCATCGTTACAAGTTTGTAAAAACTTCGTTGAGCGACCATAACATAATACTAGATAATCAAAAGAAACTAGACTAAAGTGTTGTCTATCCGCACAGAGGGCGGCAGCGTTACCAACTTAAATATTTCAATACAACAAGTTAAAATAATTCTTGAATCAACTTTTTTTATTTTTGACGGTCAGATTTATAAACAAAGTTATGGGACACCTATGGGTTCTCCTCTATTTCCAGTTTTGGCTGATTTGGTCATGCAAGACCTTGAGAGGGAGGTGTTTAGTACATTCGATTTCCACATTCCGTTTTACTATAGATATGTTGATGATATTGTCTTGGCGGTACCCAGAGAACAAATAGATACGATTCTACAGAGTTTTAATAGTTTCCATCCAAGGTTACAATTAAAATAGTGACATAATCAATTTCCTGGATACTACCATGATAATAAAAGATAATTTTATACAATTTGAGTGGTTTCAAAAACCTACATATTCGGACAGAATTTTGAATTTTTGGTTTCAGCACCCTTTTCTCAAAAAATAAGTGTAATTTATGGATTGTTGATAAGGCATTTTTCCTTTCACATCCAGAATTTCATAAGAAAAATTTGAAATTTATTATTGATACTTAATAACTATCCATTGGACTTTGTTTTTGAAAAAGTTAAGAAAAGAATTTATGCAATTATGGATAAACCATTATAACCTAAAGTTGTTAAGAATAATATTAGAAAGGATAATACGAGTTGGTTTACCATCCCTCATGTAAAGGGAATTTCTGACAGTTTTAGAAGCATTGTCAATGGAATAAATCACAGAATTGCATTTTTCAGTGTTAATAAATTGAATAATTTTATTAAAATGCAGAAAGACTCCATTCCACATATAATGAAAAAGAATATTGTATATAAAATTCAATGTAGTGATTATGATGCTACTTATGTTGGTCAGATGTTAGAAACGAGAGTAAACGAACATCGCAGTCATATACGGAGAAATATATCCTCCAGATCTGTTATTAGCGACCATATGTTGCAACATAATCATGATTTTGATTGGAATAATGTGAAAATTATGCATTGTGAAAATTTTTATCATAAGCGATTGACATCTGAAATGCTCTATATTAAATCTCAAAATAATGGTCTGAATTTAAAAACTGACACAGAAGGCCTTGATCGGTCATACGTGGATATTTTAGATAAATTGACAAATAGTAATTTGACCTAAGCCTTTCCTTTTGTTGTCGTTTATTGTAACGGTTCCTCATTGTATCGTTTCTTACTGATGAATACGGACACATATTTTTTAGTCAGATATTTTAGTATGATTAATTTATGAATTTAATTGTGAAATAATGTCTACCAACAGAGGTGAGTGTAAAAAAATTTTCTTTAGTAATTTATTCTGGATAATCTTGAAATAGAGTAATGTAATAATTTGATCCTAATAGATATTTTGTGTCAACTGTTTTTTCACAGACATTTCCGATTTTTTGAAATTATATTACACATCCCTACATCCATTATCAACGATGAATTTATTTCTAGTTGGTGCACAAGAACATTTTGTCAGTCAACAATAATTGTTTCTACAATTTGCATTCTAACTCAGAGGAAATGAAGTTTTGTTTTTTTATTATTATATATATATAAATTGCTTTTTAATTTATGTTTGTTCATTTGTTTGAACAAAAAGAGTCTATAACTAGAGTTTATATATATTTATTAATATTAATTTTTTTGTTTATTATATTATACTTTTCGTGTATCGAAAAATGTATTGTGTATGTTTTACAATAGTTATTACTATGAAGGAAAAAAAATATAAATATTTGCACGCACGCACACACATACACACACTCTCTCTCTCTCTCACACACAATACGCGCACACACACGCGTGCGCACGCACATATTTAAAAATTAACTAATATAAAGGGATAAGGCCAATAATTTCGTTAAAATCTTTTAAATTAATTTAATATGTATTGCGAAGAATATCACGTAATTATGGCGTTTCGTCCGAACTTCCACTACTGGACTCATCAGTAAGGCATTGTAGTGGCCTACCTTAGACGTCTGTTTAAGTTATTAAATCGAGATTCTATTATATATATAAACGCCATAATTACGTGATATTCTTCGCAATACATATTAGATTAATTTAAAAGATTTTAACGAAATTATTGGCTCATTGCCCTTATCTCTTTATATTAGTTGTTTAATACATATTGAGCCTTATCACAAACGTTTTAAAAATTAAGATTATCAATAAATAACAAGTTAATGTAATCTTACTGTTCGTTCTACTGGCCATTTGTTGCTTATTAGTTGAATTATTCAATAGCATGTACGTATTTCTAAATATAAGACTAGTATCCTTAATGATATTTGTAAACGTGTTCACAAAATAATTCACGAGTTACATTTGAGGAATTTCTATAAACACATAAAATAACTAAATTCAAATACTTTCCAAATAATCGCAATATTTAAAACAGAATTTTATAGAAAAATTTAGTAAATATGACATAATAAAATCATTAGTGATATAAATATCACCAGCATATACTTTTCGGACTCAATTAGAATTAGATAAAATCCCGAGAAAAACCTTCGTGAGAAAGTCGATTCTTAAAAATGAAATTGATTTTATAAGAATCATCGTTGATTGCGTCATGGAAATTTATCGTGGATTTACCAGCGTATTCATCAATTTCTCATTTTATATCAAAGCATAAATAGCAGAATAAAATATAATAGACTGTAAAATAAATACACTGTTTCGTTTTTATATGTTTGTACCTACTCATTTGTACTTGTCAAATCGTCGACAGGTAATTGTTGTTAACGATTGATTATGGTTGATGTTTATCCTTCAAAAAAAAAAGCACTTTTATCTTCTTCTAGCACGCACTCAACGTGCAATAAAATATAGACGTTTACACGCGCATTCTCAGCAGAAATCTATCAAATCGTCTCTGATCTTACAATTAAGTAAATCGCTAATAGTCTGTAAGACTTCCGTTGACAAGAAAAAGTGTTTGAGACGAAACAAATCGAAGCTGTTTTTTTTTTTTTACTCAAGTACGATTTAATCGATAGAATAACGTGATTCTAGGACAACCATGTTTTTCCTACATGCAACGTG